TTTTTTTTAGGTAGATCTTTTGGGAATAAATCCTCTCAGTTGTTTTTCTTTTAATTGTTCCTTTGTCCATGACAGCTGTTTCATGAGTGTAGGATATGGGTCAGCCATTCCTTGGTTTTCTGTTGTTGGGAAGGTGCTGTTTCGGTCCTGGCTGCCTTTAGAGGTGTTACTTTTCTCTGATTCTTACAATGAGCCTTGAGATGTACTTAGAATATACAGAACAAATTTGCTTTTTCTCGGTCCTTAGCCACATCTGCAAAGTGATTTTTGGCATGTGAAGTAACAAATTCACAGTGTCTAAGGCTTTGGACATGGACATTTTGGAGATCCACTGTTCCTCTGGTGACCTCTCCCATCTCATTTTATAAGACAAGATGTTCCCTTCTAAACATATTAAGTGGGCACAGGGTGCTGATGTGGGGAGAAAACCACAAAAGATGAACCAATTGTGGTTCTAATCTATAGAAATTAAATGACCATGTAATTTTGTTAAGACACAAATGGAAGCTTTTATTAAATACCAACAATCAATCAATGTAATGCACCATGTATAAAATAAAGGAGCAAAATATAATGACCGGGCTAGAGACATTGGTCGGTGGTGAAGCCCTTGACTGACTGACATGGACGAAATCCTCAGTGTGATCTGTAACATGCTTAAGAAATTTAAAAAGCAGTACCATCTCAATAAATTCATAAAAATTCATTCCTAGAAAGAATAATTTAAAAAATAACATTTCTAAAAGCAAACAAACAGCATATTAGTGAGAAACATATCAGTTTAAACACAGAAGTCCTAACAATGTCCAGTGCATTTAATTTAAAATATAAAGTTAATACTTGATAATGTAAAATATGAATATAATATTTAAATGAATAATAAATTTAAAGGAAGTGTGGGGTAGACCTTTCTCTTTGTGATAACTCAGTGTAGTATAGGCTTAGTATGATTAATCAGGAGACAAGTAGTTTAGGTGTAATATTCAAGTGAATGCAATTAAGAGAAAGTTAAAAAATGTATAATAACTGATAAGAATGACTTCTACAATATGGGCATACCCTGGACAAACGACTCTTACCGAATCTTGCAATCTTAGTAAGCTAATCTTATCTTAGAT